TATATATTATATATATATAACCACATATATAATATATGCTATTTTTGTTGGGGAAGAGGAGGGGGAGGGGGTGGATTGTATGATGTCTGAGGGCAGAGGGTGATGAGCAGTTATTGTTGGACCATTGGATTGACTTCAAAAGTTTAAACGAACATTTAAAAAAATATCAACCAAAAAACCCAAACTCAAACAAAACAACCAGAGACATAAACAAACTTACTTTGCTCCCAAAGAGAAAAGCCAGTGTGACGGTTGTGGTGAGTTGGGTGTGAATAAACAGCACTAAGTACACCAGGTCGGGGTTGGTTGGGAACGGGTCTCGTAAAAATATCCTGGGAACAAAGACACATGGGATACGCACGTTATATACCGGCAGCAAGTTTTTTAAAGTTTTTTTTGTGGCAAGTGTATTACAGCGCTCGCAACTGCATAACTAGGTCATGTGAGCGCACGGGACACATTTAACATTTTCAGTTAGTAACAAATATTGAATTTTGCACGGGTGGTGGCCGAAGCCTACTCTTATCGATTTTGGACCACGAAGGTCGCTACCCGGATTCGAACCAGGTACCTTTGAATGAGAGGCGAACACCTTAACCTCTAGGCCACGAGAACCAACGGCAGCAAGTTGTTAGTGTCATTGCACTTTAGCGTTTACGTATTATGTTTTCTTCCACTATTTAACAAAAGAACGAACGAAATAGTTAACTAACTGTACTGACTTACTAACTACCCACCTTCCTACCTACCTACCTACCAACCTAACGAAAGAAACGAACTAACTGACTAACTGATTCCATCATCGCCTAATAGAAAATTCTCAGTCTACACCCTGACTATCGCCTTGAAGTAGTAGTAGTAGTAGTAGTAGTAGTAGTAGTAGTAGTAGTAGTAGTAGTAGTAGTAGTAGTAGTAGTAGTAGTAGTAGTAGTAGTAGTTTTCCGCCAGTAGATAAAGATAATTTTTAAAAAATGATACAAAGAATACTCAACACTTCGCCTCCAAGATTTCTCCTGGACTGACTATCATCATTCAAATAAGAATGAGCAGTGCCACTCATAAGAACATGTTGAAGTGTAGCGCTTCATTGTCGCACTCAGGAGACACGAGTTCGATTCCTGAGTGGGGAGACATTTTTTATCAAGCGTCTCGGTCTTGCTGCTGGGATGTTGTGTGTAATCCCCCTCATCAGTCCGGGGTTAACCCAGAGAGGCAGGATAGGAAGCCCGCTTAATTAATGCCTTAAATTGTGTCGAAGAGGGCGGACAACCCCTACATTATATATATAAAAAAAAGAAAGGCAAGTAGGGAAGGGAATGTGACGCTTGTCCTTAAAAGCGACCAATTGTGAAATAGTCTCTCCTGGAGAAGCCTTCAGCGGTTTTAGAAACTTTTTCTTTCTCTTTGTTTTGTGTATTTACTTACTGAAATATAT